ATATTTATACATATATATATATATATATTAAATTTATATATATATACATATATATATATATATACATATTATATACATATATATACAAATATATATACTGCACGCATAATATCATAATATAGGCGAGCTTTTATTTTTTTATTTACATATAATGTGAATAGTTTTGTTTATCTTCAGTTTACGTTCTTAAAAACGTTTTAGTATTTCGGGCTTCGGTTGAAAGTTTCAGAGTCCTTGTTCAGATATTTCGAAAGCGTATACGCAATCACCGGTGAATTATATCGTTCTCTGCATTTGTAGCAATGATAAAAAAAACAGGTACATAATGTAAATATAAAATTAAAAATATACAATATATTTAAGTATTTACTCCCTCTCAAATGAAAATTGGTCACCCGGGGGCCGGGGGATACTTTACCGACACGAATTTTTGAGAAGAGTTTTTAATATGTTGTCGTTTATTCTAATATATACCATCTGTCCTTCAGTATATAAATCACAATCGAATTTATTATTATTCTAAATTCTGATTTCAAATTGCTTATCCTGTTTTATTTGCTCAATTGCTCCTGTACCTAGCAACCAAATTGATATGACCAATCCCTGCCGAGAAGACTCGTGGAAGCATTCCGTGGAACAGAGCTATGGACTTCAGAAGTTCGGAAGCTGTTCGGAAGCTGTTCGGAAGCTGATAAGCTGATCTACTTTCCGGGACTCCGGGTTGTCATGGACACAAGATCATTCATTTGAGAATTGGATGATCGACTGTAAAATAATACGCTATCTCAACCATTTCAAATTTATACGTAAACAGAAGCTTAATATACTATTGTGCGGGCTGCTTTGTCAACGTACTGGTCGCATCGCGTTTTGTTTCGTGTGCGTCACTGATACTCCATACTTTGAATTGATATTGGCTGGGTACTAAACAATGTATCTGTCCTACCGACATTCACGGACAGGACTTTGGTGCAAGCTTTTAGTATTGACAAAATATTCAGCCACTCAACACATATAAAGCACTTCATTAAATATCACAAAGCTTCTGTACACAGTTGCAAAAATAGCATAATTCACCGCCATCGTTTTGACTGTCATGCATTTTTCAAATAAAAATGTATACATTGCATACGAAGCCTTTCTATATTTTCATATTAATAAATATATACAAACAGTCCGGAATATATATAAAATACCTCTCGAAACTATCGAATATTCGTATTAGGAACCAATTTGCGGCAGCTACATAGTTGGTTTATTTATGATTCGGTTGGAAGTGACCATGAAAACAGTTGACATTTTTTTTAAACTGAACGAAATTCTATTATTACGATATTTGACAATCCTCTTTGAAAAAATATAGAACAGCAGGCTGATAGAAAAAAAAATATTGTTATGCAAAAGATGCACGACTCGAAAGTCATCACAGATCTGAGCTATTTTGTCCGTTGTGTTAAAATTGAATATTTCTATACATTACGTGCAAAACTGGCATGACAGTCACATCGAGATTGTGAGTTATACACTTCCTGTTACAAGTGATAAGTAATGCTATATTTATATATTGTAACATATGTATCATACAATCCTTCATTGGATGACCAAAAAGTGTATGCCCCACCCGTACTTCCCACAATACTACCCTTTGCTATCCATCTCCGGTATACGACTTCACCTGTCATGCGCGCTACTTCAGCGCTTCATTGCCATCTAGGCGTACTATGATAAACTAGCCGAGACCAATAATCGAATATACATACGAAACTATACGTAAAAGGATCCGCAACCGCTGTTTAAGATCGGCGGGCTAGGCTATCGGGAGCGAACCTGGACGGTTGCGCACTATTCAGACCATCGAAGTATGTGTCAATGCGACGATACTTTTACGGAATGAAAGATCTCGCCTTGTATTTAAGTTGTACACACACTACAGTCGTCTACATAAACCTCCACATAGTACTCGTATATAGTTTATGTGTGAAAAAATATTTGATGACTTGTATTTACATAGCAGTTGGTCAATTAATAGACGTCGATGCAACAAGACAAAAGTACTGGAAGATGAGGTCTTGAACTTATGAAGTCTCTGTGAGAGAGCAAGTAGGTTGCATATACATCAGCCACCAGAGTATCATCCACTAAATACCACAAGAATCATTGTACACAATATTCAATACTCTAAAAAATATGTAGAAATACACATATTTATGTTTGTATTACTACCTTTTTTTTTGGCAAAAAATGACAGAGCATAAAAAATAAAAACCCCGAAAATCAATGACGAGATGAGTGGTCACGAATCATTTCAATGTTTTAGGGATGTTCGGTACTATATCATTTTGGCGGGCGACAGAAAACGGTTACATGCCAATCTACGTACAAATCAGAAAGTAAATAATAAATAATAAAGAAATAAATGTTGCGTCGATAGCTTGTGTTGTCGACAGTTGTTGTTGGGTTGACAGGCTTGATTTCAGGTGTATTCCATTGCGTATGTCTTTATCAACTTCAAGGTAGTGTTATCTAACTACTGACTGTCCATCTGCGGCTGATCAGCACCACTAGCAGCGAGTATGGACTCGGAGTTTCCATCAGGCGGGCCCCAAGAGGATTTGAGCTCTGGACCTCTCGAAGAACGATTAAAAAGCAAGGTAAAGAACTTGGGGATAAATGGAAGGCGATGACTTGTGCGTGCATGTGCTATATATATATATATGTTTTAAGAAGCAATATATACATATACATGGACACTCATACATATGGATATACAAATATCCATAAATATTTTTTAAATATATATATAAATAT